GCCCGGCCCATCCAGTAGGCCACCTGTTCATTGGAACTCTTAAGTTCCAATAAGGTTGCCTCCAGTTTGGCCTCCAGCGCCTCGAACCTCCTCACAATGCTCTCCGTTGTGAGGGCCATGGCTTCCTCCAAGCCTGGAACAGAAAAAAACACTTAAGGTTGGTTGATTGCTGTGAAGCGCGCTAAAAAGCACACTATTCTCAGCTAGCAACACAAGAACTCAAGTGGGAAAACCCAAGTGGGAAAACCCAAGCGACAGCTTTGACTTTGATTATCAACACTGAAAAACACTGCAGAGCGCGATGCTTAGCACGATGTTGACTGGTCGAAGTCTCGGTGAGCACTGTTGATTTTGACTGAAAAAATGTGTTCCTATATGTACCACAATGTTCGCCCACACTCGGACAGATACAACAGATGGGTCCATCTAGCGGTGCCCCGCATCCAAGGAACATATCAACTTAGCTCTATTTAGTTTGACCACCATTCTAGGGGGGGATATTCTGTGATGTGAATCGACCGCCTCTTCGGGTAACGTCGCAAATCCTTCTTTGCGGCCTGCGATACGCTGACTCGCTTGCAGTTACCAAGTTGTTAGTTTCTGGGGTTTTGGCGGAGGCTCGGTCACACTGCTGTGCACTATTGATTTTTGGAGCGTTTGTGGTGGATTTCATTCACTCTTCATCCGCCGACTAATAGGTGGCAGCACCAACTCCACTTGCCAGCATATATCACACCCATAAAATCTAAACTAATAGTAGGTTTGTTGGCTCACAGCAATTGTCAACTGGTTAGTAATTTAGCACTACGCGTGCGCAAATCGGCATCCGTTTCAAATGCGTTGCGAATTTTCGCGTCTCCGAACACATTTCTGACTGAYCCTCCTACTGCCTCTGGGCAGCTGTTCAGAATATGAAAATTCAAGTTTATTTCAAGCCAAAGATCTCTAATTCGTAAATAAGGTGGMCTGAATGCTCATAGCAATGAATTGTAAAGAGACRAAAACAAAATTTTAATTATTTTGTTGTAAACGAATGTGATTAATTTCAACAAGCGGATGTAACGGTGACTTTAYTTTTGCTATTACTCTTTAGTATCAATTGTAATTTGTTATTTAAAGTCACGTTCTTYACTGCTGTTTGTTATTTTATTCTGAATAATGCTTATCAAGATTTAGATTCCATTGCAGTGTTTGCATGTCTTCTTCATAAAGTTGTTAAAAATCGTAATTTGTCCTGTGCGAACGTCGAATTCTTAGTCCGTGATTCTCACTTTGGCCTCACCGAACGCTTTTAGCGTACTGCGCTTGCGTATGTTAGTTGCTGTCAGTTCCAGCTGCTCCCCGAA